TCTAAGCAATTTCTCTTTACGCTTCGCTGAGGAGAGTCTCGAGCAGATATAAAACGCTAAATAAATTAAGTTCTCTACTTTTACCACACAACTTTTGATTATTCGACGTTCACTTTTCAAGTGATGAAGTCATAATCCGTAAGAAAGGACCTTCGTCTGACAGATCCAAAGAGAATTAAAAGTCATACCGAAAAAAGATTGATAGAATCGTGTTATTATTCATATCCAAGTGCCTGATAGTCATTTATCAACATAGTTTCAGATTCTGTCCACAGAATGCTTTCATGCCATGTCCTTCAACTATAATCGTAGTTATCTCACGTCTTTCCAAGGTATACAAGCGTTGCATCAGCAAACACAAATATCATGTTCTAATGACGACCATTTTAATTACATGTCTTAACATAACTAACTAACTAACTAGATGGCTTACCGAACCCGAAGGTTCATCACCGAATTAACCAAAGCCCTCCACCGGACCCTGTCCTGGGCCAACAAAATCCAGTTTCCTTCAACTCCTATCTCCCATAGATCCCGCCTGAGATTATCCTCCCATCTACGTCTAGGTCTCCCCAGCGGTCTCTTCCGTTCAGGTTTCCCAACCAGTACCCGGTGCATACCTCTTGTCCCATCCATGCGCGCTACATGTCCCGCCCATCTCATTCTTCTCGACTTAATCACCCTCACAATACTGGGGGGGCAGTACAGATTTTTAAGCTCGTCATTGTGCAGTTTTCTCCACGCCCCATCGTCTTCCCTCTTAGGCCCAAATATCCTCCTCAACACCCGATTCTCAAACACCTGCAATCTGTGTTCCTCCCTCTGAGTGAGAGACCATGTTTCACACCCATATAAAACAACATATGCCTTAACATAGCCTATAAAATCCACTTATAAAATTTCCTAAATACTAAACATCGAAACATCAAAATATAATGTTACCAATTGATTCGCGCGGTTGGTAAACATGGCCTCTTACGTAGAAATAAACAAGTAAATTAATAATGTTTACACGCTGCTAAGAAGCGAGGTTTTGGGTCGTTTCGCCATGCAGTCTCGAAGAAGTTTACCGACGTTTCAGATGTGCTTGCTGCCTCCACTGCTAGCACCTCTGAAATGAACTTACACTAGACCACACGGTACAATAACCTGCTCACTGGAGACCAGATGCTGTAAGCCAGAAATGTTGTGACATCTGAAGGCATGTTATCTTGAAATATATAAATTAAATTTATGTTTGAATTCAGAGTAGACAAAACCAAGCAGTTACGTTGGCGTTACCTCATCTCAGAAACACACTGAACGTACTTGGTTATGAATGTGTTTAATTTCCAATTCCACAAGTCGACGTTAACAAGATCGACAGAATTCCTACGTCCTCCAGTGGAGTACTCACTTCCGTCTTATCTCGTGAAGTGTATCAATTGCTTCAGAGGCATAACGCTTCGAAGGACAAGCATTGAAGCTTGCTACAGAAAACCTATCTGACTTCCAACTCGAGAACAAGTTCACAGATCGACGTCTTACGAGTGCATTTCCATGCCATCAGCATCTTCACTGTCCTCCTCTGTTGCCCTGGAAACTTTTGATGCCCTGACGAAAGCAATATAATTGACAATTCTCCGAATGGAATGGCATTAAACAAAAGCTGTTCTGATCAACAACTAATAATTCAGTCAGTACCGCAAAGAAAACACATCTCCATTAGAAAGATGAACTGGCCGATGCTGTTTAAATAAATAATGGCTGTTTACGCTCGAAATCATACACAACCCATAAATTCAAGATGCACACCAGTTTAAGAGACGCGACAGACATGATCACATGGTAAGGTGAATCACGTAAACAAACAATAAGACACTTTTCAATCAACGAACACGCGTACAGACAGGGACAAAAAGCATTTAACTGTTGCGAAAGAATCGTGCTCATCCCACAACGGTTACCCGGGACAGGTTCAGCCCACTACAGATTGTTTCAAGTCAAGGAAGACGAATAACCTTAACCTCTTGAGAAATCCGAGGGCGATAAAATGATTCACGTAAGGGAAACATCGTCCCTGAAACATCTTCCCATACAGCTAACTAAGCGGTTTATTTTATAATTTCAATAGAGTGATGGTTCCGCCCTCCTGCCGAACACAGGCGACAACGCCCGGAGAACTAAATTCTATGGGCGGAAGCTGCTTAGGACGCCAGCCCCCGACCCACGTGCCAGGTAGGCACCCAGCCACATTCTGCCCACTGGGTGGCTTATACGGCCAAATGGGTATCTTTCGCTCTCCGTGAACCAAATGGTTTTCGCTGCCGCTGTTAGAAGCCCAATAAATCAAATGCGATAGTTCAGCATGTCGTATTTTCGATCACACGAAAGAAAATAAAAACGCGTAATGTTAGAAAAATATACAACTTATTGCGCCAAAGATATGCTTCTTTCCTTCTCTGCCGAATTCGGACTTCCTAAACCATTAGAAGCAACAGTAACACGAACAAACCGACATTTAGCTCAGTCAGTATAGTGACTAGCTACGGGCTGGACGGCCGGGGTTCGATCCCCGACGGGGGCAGAGGATTTTTCCTCTAGCCTCTGCGTCCAGACCGGCTCTGGGGCCCACCCAGCCTCCTCTACAATGGGTACCGGGGTCCTTTCACGGGGGTAAAGCCGGCCGGGGCGTGATGCTGACCACTCACCCCCATCTAGTGCCGAGGTCAAGGAAGAGAGGAGCTATACCTCCACTCACCCCAAACGCCTACATGGCGTGTAGTGGGACAAACTTTACTTTACTTTACTGTCAAAACACCGAGTTTACTTCAAACGATTTCGGCGTTAGAAGGATGTTGTTCAAATAAAATAAGTAATTAATTCAGATTATTATTATTTTTATTTTTATTGTTAATTGGAGTCGGTGCGAGAGGAAGAGTTGATTATTGTCACTTAATTTGTTTATAGTTTACTTTCAAAGTTAATTCAAATTTACTTTATTCTTTTACAGTGCAGGGCTTCAGATTTGCCTTACACTACCATTTTGTTTTTGGTTTTAACGTTTTATTATTTTATTCATTATAAATTGGTTATATTTAATATTAAATTAAAAGTTTGATTACTTATACGCTTCATCAACATACATTAGAACGATCAAATTGACAAGTATAAGACAGCAGAGTAATGTAGCCCGACAGACATGAGAAATGCCTATAAAATTTTACTCTGAAAACATGAAAGGAAGACATTTCTTTGTTAACCTAGAAGTAGATGTGGGTAGGATTTTAAAGAAACAGAACAAGAGGGCATAGACTGGATTCATCTAGCCCATAACAGGGAAAGGGCGGTGAAACGACCTTCTTCAGTGGTACCAAACCAAGAACAGAAAAATTTGTCCTCCGCGTTGATGATGCCCCCTACTCGTGTTGCATCTACAATATTAAGCCAAATCAGGCAACGTTTAACTGCATCACCGATGGCCTTTGACCTTATTAATCTGAGAGACCACCTAAGTGTTCACGACCTCAGACCACCCACTGCCAAGTACGGCTTGTTCACTACGCCCCCTCCACGACAAACGCACGTATGTCGGGTCAGTCAGCTTTGGGAATGAAATAATTATCGTTGTTCTAACTTCATTTGTGTGAGTCTCGTCTATTTTGTAAGATGGGAGTACTGTAGCTGAAAATGTAAGAAATAATCGTGTGCCCTTTCTTTTATATGGCTGACAGTTTTTCCTACACGTGCTACATGTTCTGTCCATCTTCTACTACCTCGTTTTACCGCATTAGTAATATCCGGTAGGAAAACTAATTATGAAGCAAAGTTTAATGTCCTCGTTACTCCGATTCGTAAAACTGTAAGAACATACAACGTAACACCAGGACTATTATCAGACAGCTAATGCCTTACGCTTTCTCCCGACCAGAGAGAATTTAAAAAATAATGCGTTAACTCTTCAGTTCATTTATCGGCTCATAAGTGAGAGGTCGGGCGCTTTCATCATACACTTTTAAGTTAGAAACTGTAACCTCTTAACTTTTAAGGGAGAATAACAACGGAATGAAGGTAGCCGAGAAATTCTGCTTTAGAGAAAGTTGAAATAAATGGACCGAGAATTGTAGAATTCAGTACGCATGTGTGAGACACCCGTAGCTTCCGCATGTCGTCACTCTTACATTCTATTACAGGCTAAACGTGAACATAAATAGGCATACCTTCACTTAACAACTTAAAACTTCATGAGAAAAATTCTCGAAAATTATTAAATTAAAACACTATAGGTTAGTGTCCTTAAAATCAATCCAGACAGCTCTGAATATCACACAGGTCTGTATTTTATGTCCCAAACTGACTGATCCTCATGTTAACAACGTTGGTACAACCGTATAAATTAGCCTACAGGTTAAAACGTAGTGTAAGGTTGGAATATAACATAAATAAGTAAAGCTTTGGGAGGAAGCAATCCTTGCCTAAATGAACGTAACAGACCGGAATTCAGGTAAGGAGACTGATACATTGTAAGGAAATTCGAGTCAAAACATAAGGTAGCCCGACCAGGATTCGAAACGAGTACTTCCAGAATACAAACACCACTGTAACAGTCTGTTCAGTGAGAACTTTCGGTGATATCTGACCACTTGTACAGCCGTCGATCATGATTTATGAATCTGTGACGTCCAAACGCGAAGAACTCACACTACTTGCAAAACGCGTATCAGTTCGTATTGTGCAGGGTTTAAAGGGATATTCTACCGAATGACATTGAAATCGGCATATAAAAATATCGGCAGTTTGAGACTAATAGCAGTAACGTGAAAATATAATCACCAGGATCAAACTTGTTACTTTTCCCAAGAAAATAATAAAAGGGCTAAACAGACGGTCGTGGTTAATTTATTTATTTTTTAATTTCTATTGAGAATCCAGAAATTTTATAATACTTGGATCAGGACAGTTATAACAAAACAAGCATATCTTCTGATGATCTATAGTGGCCACCAAGTTATTCAGTTTACCTTCAGATCACCACAACAGCTTAACCCCTCAAAGGCGTTGCACATCCAGTCAGCACTTACCTGAAACAACAGAGACAGTTACATTTCAATTCAGAGGTTTCCAAATCTGTAATATTTTATTAATCACTTTCTAAACATATTTAACTACTAATGAACTGTAATATCTGTGTAATCGTTTTCCAATTTGTGTCTGTAATTTAATATGACATTCCGTATCAGTTTGAATGAATTATAATTACAAAATTAGCTCCCGGTAGAAAGCTTCACGGACCCCCTGGGGTACGGAGGGTCCACATCGGGTAACCACGTTTTAATCATTACAGAGTGTGACACGAGAAATATGCTGATGAAAACAGCGCTTATGGACTGCAACGGCAGCCACGTGATTGGAAGAAACGAAATGTTCTACCCTTTCTGGCCTAAATCCATCGCGGAATGAGCTGATACCAACCTAGAAAGGTATTATTACCTTATTAGCATTAGCAAAACCCCTTTCAATTACAGCCAGCTCGTTTTTTTAGGTTATGACGTGGGACCTATGCTATATAGAAGGATAATATTAAAATGGATATTAAATAAATACGACCTGTGGAAGTGGGCCTGATATATCTGGCTCGGAATAGGGATAATTGCAGGGGTATTGTTAATACGGTAATGAACCTTTGGGTTCCACGAACCGCACAGTACAATTGTATATATGACGAGCTCAGCCGGGATCAATCCCCAAGCGGTGCCAGGCAGAACAGAGAGAACATAGCAGTTTGACATCACGGGATGACGAACATCACGCAAAGACTGACGCTCGATTCACCTGGTACTAACAGAACCACGAACGGGTGGAAAATTTACCGTAACTACGGAACACTGCTGAGGTATTATACAGCAGACAAAGTTCGATTCAGAACTAAGTTTAACCAGGCCAAGCGAAATATCACAATCGATTTTTTTCTTATTTCCGCACTTCGAGGTAAATGAAAGGCTGTACAACATCTTTAACTTTCGGCAAAACACAGGAAATTAAATTTCAGGCCTTCCAAATCAAAGTTACGCTCATATGTCCAATCAAATCAATTCTACGGATTATTCTTAGAGCATACATTAGAAGTTTGCTCAAGACGTTTCAGCCGACTTGAAGAACCACATTATTTTGTTCATGACTGCACTTCAAAACGCAACGCCGTCCCTAATCCTGCTACGAACGGAGTTTCCATCCACCGTTACAAAGAACTGTGCTCACGGACATGAACACAGGCGTGCGATATGGGCGAAGCCACACTCTCTCAATCTCTCCCTCGAAATTCACTGCGGATAAAACAAATAGAGTTTTCAAAACCACACTTTTCTACGGATGAGAAAGCAAGCCCAACACGTGAAGACACGAGTATAAGCGTATTTTCAAAACAAATATACAAACATCAAATGTATTTAGTTAAGAAATGTAGCGATTATGATGCGTCTGCCAGAATGTAACTTAGGCAAATGGCGCACGTGACGTCAGAATTTTCTTAGGTAAATGAACTTCGCGTGAGTGAAGTGTCTGGAGCTTAAATGGCGAATTCCCCTATGTGGTTGCGCTGCTGGTTAAGGATTCCCCAGGTAACGGGCTTAACTACGGTAACCGACGCGGAACTAGCAGAAGTCGAATTATTAATGTAATTTGAGTGACTTTTTTATTTTAAAGGTGTAACTTCGTGTTTTTTAAGAACCACTTCTAGCCCCTACTTATAGTTCTTGGCTTCAGTAGAGATGACCACAGTTTCATTATGAAATGCATCAATCACGTAAGGGAACAAAATGTTTCCGACCCGTATACATTTTACTATGTTTATGGTTTATTTAACGACGCTTTCAGGATCTCAGACTACACAGCAAAAAAATAATTGGAAAGGAAGGTATTGTTTACGCGTTAGTCTGGTAATAAAAATCACTGATTAACATTATTTTATCAAATTAAATATGACATGATCACTAATGTCACACCCCTTTTGGAATTCTGAAGTGATTTAAAACTTATATTTTATAATTCGTTTGTTCAACCGAAAAGCGAAGTGATACAGGACCCAAGTATTTTTTTTTTCAGAATGAATAACGCGAAATGCTTGAAACAAAATCTGTCCGTCACATCTGCAAGACATCATCAGAGATCTAGCATTCCTCTCAGGGCCGGATATACGGCAAACAAAACAATGGTTTCTTTAAGAAGTATGACTACAGATGAAGGCGAAGGTGGTATATATAGTCCTCACACCGAATGAAGGCAAACCGGAGCGTTGCTTGACTAGAAGATTAATTTTTGACTTTCATTACCCATGAACAAAATTATTCATGACACATCTTCGTTCCATGAATTTTTCACTCCTTTCATTACCTAAAACACCGTGGAATAAAGACGTACGTACAAGAATAGGCACTGAGGGGGGGGGGGGGAGATACAGAAGAAGCATGGCACAGGGGTGACCAACATAGTTACGTTTTCTAAATCACAGTACAAAACTGAGTTGTCAACTTGCTTCACAACAGCCTAATCAGAATTATGAACTTTGTAAAAAGTCTTTTAACTTTAAGTTTCATTCTCCCTCAGCTCTCACGAATTTGCCCTCTGCCCCGTTCCAAATTAGAATTTCTGAAATTACGAATCCGTTTCAACATTTGGCACGACTCCATAGAAGGGGGATCAGCTCGTCCCAAGGCAGGGCACCACGACTCAAAAAATCGTGTGCTTCCAGCAGGATTCGAAACCTCGATCCCAGACAGCGAGTGGTTCAAGACCGCTGGGGGCTTCGTACAAGGCGGTCAAAAGTTGTGACCGCCTTCCCACTTTCAGTGCAAACAAACTCATCCAATACCATAAACACTTATCCAGAGTGTGGTAACTAATGTTTCTTCTCTTCTCGCTCTAATCACTAGACACAGAAGCGTTGGAAACATTAACAAGACATGATACCATCCCAGGCAGCTGAACGGACAACCCTGCCTACTTATTAGCATTCTGACAGGAAGCAACGCCGTGGCTTTGCAATTCGGTCTGGAAATAAAGCACTCATTCACTACAGCGCAGCTGCACAACACAAAGTTCGCGGTTATAAGAAACTGTGATCCATGAAAGAGATGTTTACACAGCAGTGGTTGGTGTTTCATCTCGAGCTGAAATATTTTACGTTAACAAATTTCTACAGAAAAAAGTAGCCATTTCAGCTCAGTTCTTATTGAAAGCTATTTAAATATGTGAAACGTCTATAATCCAAATGCTGTAATTAGC